AGGAGATTGCCCCATCTTCCTTCCGAGGAGTGGCTGGTGGGTTTGAACCGCCAGCCTTCTGGTCAGCAGTCAAGTGCCTTAGGCACTACGCTACCACTTTTAAAAACCCAGACATCCTTTTCAGAAAAAGAAATACCCTCATTCCAACCACTAAGATAACCAAACAAAAACTTCAGTGGCATACATGACAAACAATATAGACTTTACAGAATCAGTCCAGTAAATCACTAGACAAACAGCAGCAACAGCAACAACAACAAGAAAAACAACAAGTAAAAAAGGCTTTGGTGGGTGGGAAGGAGGGATCTGATTTCAGAGTTGCTGTATTATATTATTTAAAATGTATACTTCTCAACAACAAAAAAAAAAAATTACAAGACAAACAAAAGAACAGGAAAGTATGGCACATACATGGGGAAGAAAGAAGTCAGAAACTTGTCCCTGAGGAAGTTTAGGTGTTGAGGAACAGAAAGAAAAAAGAATGAAGAAACATTAACATAGCCTTGGAGACCTATGGGGGTGATAGCATACCAACATATGTACAATGGGAGTCCCAGAAGGAGACGAGAAAGAGAAAAGAGCACAAAAACTATTTGAATAAATAATGCTTGCAGACTTCCCAAATGTATTGAAAAACATTAATCTACACATCCAAGAATCTCAACGAAATTCCAAGTAGAATAAACTCAAAGAGATCTGCATCTAGACACATCATATAATCAAAATTTCAAATTACCAAAATCAGGAATGAAAGAAGGAACATCACTACTGACCCTACAGAAATAAAAATAATTAAAAGGGAATTTTGTGAACAATTGTATGCCAACAAATTAGATAGCCTTGATGAAATGGACAAATTCATAGGAAAACATAAAACTACAATGAAGCCATCACAAGGCATCACAAAAAGAAAACTGTTGTTGTTAGGTGCTGTCGCGTCATCTCTGACTCATAGCGACCCTATGCACAGCAGAACGAAACATCACCCGGGACTGCGCCAGCTCCATGATCCTTTCTGTCCTTGAGCCCATAGCTGCTGCCACTGTGTCAATCCAT